ATTCCGAAGCTAACAAGGAGCTCTTTCAATTACGGCATCTACCTTCTATTTTTTAGTTAAAATGAAAATAAATTCAAAATTAACTTGAATAAGTTAAGAAACTCTTGTTAAAAATGCCTTTTATTTGGCATAAAATTCGTTGAAATGTGACCACTTTTTAAAATGTAATTCGTTGAAATTTTAATTTAAGATGTATGACAGAAACCCCAAAAAACTTTTTTAATAATGACATTATCAATAAAAAAGCATGTTACAAGTAAGTAGGCGTTTTTTACTATAATGATGTTAAAAAAAACAACCACTTCATAAAATTAAATAATGTTTCATAATCCTATTATTTTAATTATTTTCAATGGGTAATTTCCATAATTTGTAATCAGTTTCACAAATTTTATTATGACACTTAATTGTGTTATATTTTTAAATTTTGATAATTTTTTATTATCGATTAGTTTTATAATAGGTTTTTAAATTATTTAAATTAAGTATTTAAAAAAAATAAAATTATTAAAAATATTAAAAAAAAGATATTATTATTACTCTACGGATACTCAAACTTTCAAACTCAATAAATTAAATATACAAAATAAATATATACACATATTGTTTAAGAAAAAAACGTATTAACTTTAGGTTTTACTTTTTTTTGAGTTTATAACAATTATTAACGTAAAAAACAGAAGCATACTAACAAAAATGTTTGCAATTTAAATAAAACTAAAAAGGTTTTGTTGACTTCATTTCCAAAATAAATACTAAAACTTCATTTACAAAATTCAGCTAGAAGCTGTTCAGTTTTTTGAAGTAGTGTCAACATCGATTGGAGGAGTTGTACTTGGCTCATCTGTTATTTGAGTGACATCTTGCAGAGGTTCTGATGAAAACGTAACTAGATCAGTTTTGCTTGCATCTGCATTTATAGTTGTAGGAAACTCAATATCAGAAGTGGAAGAAGTTGATGCAAGTTGTTCAGTTTCATTTAAAAGTAAAATGGTAATTTTTGCTATATCATGTGCAGAATTGGATATCAACTCCTCAACATGAGTGGTGACCAAAGGAGATTCAGTTACAAAAGTACCAGTTTTATTCACATCAGCAATATCAGACATAAGCGAATGAGTTGCAGGAGTTGAGGTTGCGTCACGTAACATCTGAGTAGGTAATATTGGAGTTTCGCTGGCATTCGTTAGTTGCTCAGTTTCTTTCATTACTGAAGCAGTTAGTTTTGATACATCTGCTATAGAACTTAAAGAAAAGCTTTCTAACATATTATTGGTTGTTTGTGGAGTATCAGTTGCAAGCGCGAGTATATCAGTTTTCTTTGCAACTGTATCAATTATTGGAGGAAATTCAGTTGCAGAAGTTAAAGCTTGTGGAGTTTCGCTTTGCTGAGATTCAGTAGCAATGGAAAGTATAGGTTTGGTGAGAGCTGCAGTATTTAAGGTTTGGGCTGATGCAACAGTAGCAGCTAATGGCAAATCAGTAACTTGCAATGAAAATACTTGACACAAAGTCGAGCTTTTTAAACATGTTTTGATGGTGTTATCCCAAGCCAACGAAGAAGGGCAACTTAGTGATAATTTTTGACCATTGCTGCATATAAAGAATTTATTACAGTTGTTTGGATCGGGGTAGTATTTGCCGTTGTCACAAGTTGTTGAAGCTGTAAAATAAAATACAAAACATTCAAAAAGTTGACCCACAAAAAAGCAAAACACAGTGAAAAACGATGACACAACGATCGTTTTATAAAAAGCTTATATCTTCAAACGTTAAATGTTTGAAAAAATAAGTTTATTGAAAAACTGTGATTATGATTAATAATGATAAATATTGATAATTTCAAAAACATTAAAGGTTTTTTTAATTTCTTAATTTGTATTTATTTATTTTAACTCGTTAAAAATATAATACATTACATTTATATAATTAAAGAAATGAAAAAAAAATTACCTTGAGGCAGCGGTATAGCTTCACTTAGTATGACAGTGCATAGTAAAACAAAACTGTTCCATGAATGACTCATTTTTTATTAACGTGTTAATTAATGTTACTGGTTTCTACAGATTTAGAATTTAATAAAATGATCAGATTTATTTTCTATTTAAGATCTTTTTTGCAATAATTTATTTGCGTCAGTAACTTACTTCTAGCCACTAGAATTTTAATTTATATCGTTTGCAATTCATTACAACTTGATATTGGTTACAAATAATTGGTATTAAACTAATTGGTTTAGATCAAAAATGAAATTCATTAATTGGCCATTAGTGTTAATTAATAATTTGTTAATTAAAATAAACCATCAAAAGAAAGCCATAAGGGGTAGCATTTTTGTAAAACCAGAATATTACATTTAACAATACATTCAATGGGATTGATTATTATTAACCTTCATTATACATATAATAAACCATATGATAAACCACAATACCTATATATATATATATATATATATATATATATATATATATATATATATATATATATATATATATATATATATATATATATATATATATATATATATATATATATATATATATATATATATATATATATATACATATATGTATATATTTATAAATATATATATATATATATATATTAATGTATATATATATACATATATATATATATATATATATATACATATATATATATATATATATATATATATATATATATATATATATATATATATATATATATAAATATATATATATATATATATATATATATATATATATACATATATATATATATATATATATATATATATATATATATATATATATATATATATATATATATATATATATATATATATATATATATATATATATATATATATATATATATATATATATATTTAATTTTAAGGTGTAACCCGCATTTTCTCTAATCTGCTAACAGTATCAGCGTTACCCGCACTTCCTCTATAACTTACGTAGGTAAACAATTTCAAGTAAACATAGGAGTTAAACATAGGAAATGCAGGCCGAAATCGTCAGACAATTTTAATTAAACTTATATCTGTTCTAGTTTATTCCCTTTTTAATTTTTTTTTTTAAAGGGGAATTATTAAGGGAAAATAAATTTTATTTACTTATTTCAAATTCATTTGTTTAATCAAAACTAGTCTTTCGCTGGTATTTGATGAATAAACAATAATTTTTCAATCGTAGAAAAATAGATAATAAAACTTAGTTTATTGGTTTTAACGCGAATAAATCGAAGTTTATTTATTTTAAAAATACATGGCTGTAGACCTGGAAGGAAGGAGGGGGGTAGGAGCTATGAAGAGGGGAGCGCAAGTAATCTATCTTTTATCAATAAAATTTTTTATTATTCTTTTGCAATTAGAGTTGTCGAATGTAGTGAAAATGCCTGCCCCGGTACCCGTCGAACAAATGGGCGGGTACCCGGCTAACCCACAAAAAATTAATTTTTTTTTTAAAGTTTTTTTTATAAAGACTCAATTTTATAAAATCTTTTAAACCAATCATGTTACATAGTTAAGAAATGTTTTTTTTTTTCAAAATTTTATTTTATTTTAAGTGTCTAAGTTGCACAAGTCCCAATTACTGTTCAGAAATACTTTCAGTAAAAGTAACTTAATATTATAAATTAAATTAAAAATTAGCATACAATATTACAATGGAAGAGTTCAAAAACTTAAATACTAAAACATGTCAAATAATTCACTAGATTTAACATGTTAAATAATTGTTTGTTGATAAAATAATTAATAAAGAAATAAAAAAGAATATACATTATGTAAAATACATATACTAATATAGATAAGAGATTTTTGAAAATTTAAAAGTAGATTAATATATTTTCAGTTGAAAAAATGAGTTTTTTAAGATTTTGTTTAAAAGAATCAAAATTACATTCTTGAGAAAGATCTTTAGAAGTATTTAGAATTATACTTTTCCATAAAAATGGTCCGAGAAATGTAATAAAAAGTTTTTCCAAAATTATTTTGAGAAAATGGTTGTCGAATTAAATTATCGTTCCTTAAAATATATTTATTTCTATCTTTTTGTAAATACAAGCTACGAAAAGAAACGGGTGATAGGTGGGTCTTGCATTTATACATAAAACAAGGAATATTAAAAATATTTAACTCATATATATTGAGTGCTTTCATACAGGGCCGTGCCGTGGCATGGAGCAATGGAGCAACCGCTCCAGGCGCCTGAGCCACGAAGGCTCCTTTCAAATATTTCACGTTTGTTCATTTACGTCTAAGAATATTATTTTTCTGATATGTAAGCAACTCTTTATGTTTTTTCCTTTTTTTTTTTTACTTATAATAAAGTGTAGTGTAATAAATAATGATATTTTTATAACAAAAAGGCGCCTACTAGTAATTTATCTTTATTATTGTTTGTGTAATTAGCAAAAAAAGTTCGAACCTGAACGTTGAAATTTGGCGTAAAGTTCGAACGTTCGAATTTGAACTTGTTCGAGCTAGCAGCCCTAGTTATAACAGTATACCTACAATTGTATTTGTAGTTTATATTAGGTTTTAAGAAACTTAATTAAATCATAATAATTAAAAACCATGTTTGGAAATAAAAAGAAAAAGTCTGGTTGGGAAAATAAAAAACAAAGAGGAACAAAAGAAAATGAACGTAAGAAGCAAGCAAATTCTATATTGTCATTTGTTTAACAATCGTGCTCATCAAATTTAAGCCAAGCTACAAGCAATATTGATGAACCAACAATTAAAAAAAACGTGTTTCGATCAAAGTACAATCAACAGCATAAACGAATGCAATATGGATAAATCGTCAAAATTTGATGAATATTTCAAAGCTTCGACATCTAATTGAGAAGAGAGTCAGGAAGCTGCTATTTCAGATCTTGTCAAAGATCCTACAGAAGTATTTATATCTATTGTAGAATGAAGCAAGCGTACCATTTTTGAAACATCAGAAGATCTCGAAGTTCTACTATTGACAGTGACTGAAGAGGACCCGGTGTATGAAATGTCATCAGATCCCGGTGAATGGAAGTTTGTCATGGATAACATGAGACAATTTTTGGTAAAAAAAGTTCCAGTGCAAATACACAATTTTGCCTTTCCTGTAAACAACAAAGGTAGACAATTTTCACCTTCTTTATACAATCGAAAATTGCCAAACGGAGCACATGCTGTGCGATCCTGGTTAATTTATTTACAATCTCAAGATTCGGTATTTTGTTTTAGTTGTAAATTATTTTCTAAAAATCGCAATTTTTTTTTATTTATTTATTTATTTCGTCATATATAAGCATTTTACAATGTTCTCGTTTCCAAGTTTAATAAAATAAATCAAAATATAAAGAATGACAGGAGCAAGTAGAAGACATAAGTCTTGTCGTCAAGCCCCTATAATTTGCGTGATATGTTTTTTACAAAGTATCCATAATATATAAAATATAATAATTTATATTCACTATATAAAGCAAGTTGAAATAACAATAATAAAATAAAATTTGCTAAATTAAATAAATAAAGTAAAGAAATTTAAAAGGTTAGCTTAAAAAAATAAATAATCATTTTATATAGCAAGTTAAAAAAAGCTATACTATAATAAGACTGCTAAAGTAAAATACAGAAATAAAATTTATATAATAATTATTTACATTTTTTTTTGTGTCATTATCTCATTATATACAAAACTCATTATATTAAGCAAATCAATATAAACTTTATTGTAATAAGATAAAAATACTTTAAAAGTAAAGTTAAAAGCAAAAAAAAAAAAAAAAAAAAACAGCAAGAAAAACAAATAAGTAACGTAAAAAAAAAATTAAATTTTAAAACTAAAAATATAAAAGTATGTTTGTATCTGTTAAGTCAAGCAAATTCTGTTTAACTACATTTTTAAAAGATTGTATTAAGGTTATACTTTTCATTTTGTCGTCAAGAATTCTGTTCCATAGACGAGGTCCTCTATATGAAATTGAGTAATCTGTTTTTTTTAATGTTGACTTAGGTAAGTTAAAATTGTGAATAGAGTACCTCGTTAAGTATTTATGAGAAATAATTGAAAAATGATTGTTAAAGAATTTAGGAAGCATGTCGTTTTGGTATTTAAACATAAAAATAGGTTTTGGTACAAATTTAACTCATAGCCGTTTAAAGCTTCGATTTCACGGAGTAACGGTTTGGCGTGGACACATTTATGCATCTTACATATAACTCTACTGGCTTGTTTTTGTTTTATATATATTTTCTTTAATGCTGATGAACAAGTACTGGCCAAAGCAATGTTACAGTAGCTAATGTAACTATGAATAAAAGAGTATATATTCTGTATATATTTTTTAAGCATTTTTTACTTAGTAGGTGTTTTGTTTTATACATAATGCCTATAACTGGGCTTTCAATGGTAGTTCCGATTGAGCACATTTATCACGGGATCTTAAAAGTCATGAATCATCGGGAATTCATTTCGATAGTATTTTTATGTGGAATAAGTTAAGGTTACGCTTAAAAATTTTAAACACCATAGATGCTGCTCAACAACGCGCCCTTAATATTGAAAAAAATAAGTGGCAAGAGATTCTTAAAAGAATAATTGCGATATTAAAATTTTTAGCTTCACAATCATTAGCAATACGAGGTACAAGTGATAAAATGTATAATAGAAATAACGGCAATTTTTTAAAATTGTTTGAATTACTGGCTACATTTGATCCAACGTCTGCAAATCATATACAAACTATTACACAAAGACAAACCAAAGTACATTATTTGAGTAATAATATTTAGAATGAGCTCATACAGTTAATTCCAAAAAATATTAAAGAGTATATTGTTCAACAAATTAAAATTAGTAAATACTATTCAATAATAGTAGATTGCACCCCAGATCAGAGTCATGTTGAACAAATGTCCATTATTATAAGATTTGTATTCCAGGACAAAAACAGGTTCGAAATTCATTTTTTAGGATTCATTCCCGTAGCGGATACTTCTGGTAAAGGCCTAACTGAAAATATTCTTAAAGAACTAGAAGATAATCAAATTTATTTTGAAGATATGAGAGGCCAGGGATACGATAATAGTTCGAACATTAAAAGAAAAAGATTGGGTGTTCAAAGCAGAATATTACAATTAAATCCACGTTCAGTTTTTGTTCCTTGTGCATGTCATTCCCTCAATTTATTTGTTAACGATGCAGCTTCTGCTTCAGGTGAAGTAGCTAGCTTTTTTCTTATTATTCAGCAAACTTATGTATATTTTCGTCATCTCCTAGTCGGTGGGACATTTTAAAGCAGCATGTAAAAATTACTTTAAAACAAGTTTGTTCTACTAGATGGGAAAGTAGAATTTCTGCTATTATTCCTTTGAGATTTCAACTTGAACATATTTATAATGCTTTAGTCAATATCCATTTAGATGAAAATCGGGACAATCAAACGAAACTTGAAGCCCAGTCATTATCAAAAAAAGTTTCTTGTTTTAAATTTATTTGTAGCCTAATTATGTGGTACGACATTTTATCAAAAGTAAATATTGTATCAAAAATAATGCAGTCTCCAAATTTAAATTTATTAAATTGCAATAATGCTTTGAAAGAAGTTTTGGTTTTTTTAAACAATTACCGTCAGGATGAAACCTTTGTAAAAGTCGTCGATGAAGCAAAGAAAATAGCCGAAATTCTTATGATTGATAATAAATTCCCAGATGTTTCAACGATTCAAATTCGTAAAAAGAAAGGCCATTTTAATTACGAATCCAATGACCTGCCTATTATAGATTCACAGCAAAATTATAAAGTCAACTTTTTCTTCAACAACTGGACACCGCAAATAATTCAATCGATGAAAGATTTGAACAGTTAAAATTACATGAAGAAAAATTTCAAATAGTATACAATATTTATAAACTAAAATCCGAAAATAGAACAAATATATTAGAAAATTGCATGGGCTTGCATTTATTATTATCAGATAATGATAAAAGAGATATTGACGGTTTAGAACTTTGTGAAGAAATTATAAATTTATCTGCAGTGTTACCCTCTCAATTGGAACCACTAGAAATACTGTACTATTTGCACGAAAATAATATAACAACAATATTTCCAAATTTGTTCATCTGTCTACGTATTCTGTTAACTTTACCTGTATTCAGTTGCTTCTGGGGAACGCAGTTTCTCGAAATTAAAAATTATAAAAAACTGTTTAAGATCGTCAATGAGTCAAGAGAGATTAGTAGTTCTAGCTATGATGTCGATTGAAAGCGAAATATGTGATTCGTTAAATTATGACGATTTAATTAAAGATTTTGCTGAATTAAAAACGAGGAGAGTAAATTTTAAATAAAAATGCTCTTTCAAATAAGATAACTATTTTCGCTTTTTGTACTTAAATCTTAAATTGTTAAAGCTATCAAAATCAATTTGAATTAAAATTTGTTTTTGAATTTGTTTTTGAATTTGAAGTAGAATTTGTTTCTTGGCTTTCTATTGATCGAATAATTTGAAATAAAAATTTCTTCTGACTTACTGCAAATAATTTATTATTAATCTCAATTATAATTAGTCCAAATATGGAATAAAAAGGATTAAATAAATTATTGATTTATTTGATCCGCGATTATTGTATACATATTATACATATTTTGTTGGTTTTGTAAATGTATCCTATTATAAAAATTGAATATAAAACGAAGAATCAAGGGTTTTTATTTTTCTTGTCATTAATGCCAACTCAACGATCTATTCCTGGCGGCCTTTTATCAACGTGTGCATTTGCCCAATTTTTGAGAGAATGGTACACTCCACAGAAAATATTCCGAGAATAGTTGTAATACTCTCGAAGTTCTACAAATTTTATTAGAAATATTTTTCTGTAAAGTGCACTGTTATTCCAAAAATCAAGTAAATAAAACCGTGTTAAATGAAGGCTACCTGTATTCTACTAAATTTAAATTTGAATATGTTGGTCACCTAAAAAATTAATTTACCTATAAAAGGCGCCTTATAAGTATGCCTGTTCCAGGCGCCAAATACCACCGCACGGCGCTGCTTTCATATCATATAAAAGAGGTTTGGCGTGAGCAAAACGGTCTTCGAAATTTATAAGGCATGCTACATGCTTCTGTTGCCGATAAAGAGGTTTAAGTTTACTTTTATAAGTGCTACCTTAAGCAATGTTTGTATAGTTAATATGGCAATGAATTAAAGAATAATATAACTGAATTAAGGGATGCTTATCAAGAACGTTTCTTATTTTGTATAAAATGCCTATACTCTTCGAAATTTTACTGCACAAGTTAGTAATATGGCTTTTCCATGTAAGATTTTCATCGATATATGCACCTTAAAATCTTGTCACTAAAACTCTTTTAATAAATATGTTATCGATAAAAAGAAATGGTTTCTAGGCTGGTGCTTTTTATCATAAGAATTAAAAAGTCCATTTTTATTATTTAGTTTTATCATTTAGTTTATCATTTAGTTCAATATTTAATGATAATTTGTTTATTCTGAAGCATTCGGAAATTTTAACTAGTTCAATGTTCATGTTGTTAAAAAGTGTAGAAATGTTATTATGAGAAAGAAATAAGTTAGAATCATCAGCAAACATAATTGTCATTAGGTTTGAAGCTTTTGGTAGATCATTAATATATATTAGAAGTAGGAGTCGTTCTAATATGGATCCTTGAGGAACTCCGCATGAAATACTTAACAAATTAGATGATATGTTATCATCCGCATAAACGAATTGTTTTCGATTATTATGGTAACTTTTTAACCATATTAATATATTTCTAGTAATTCCGTACCACTCCAACTTTTTAAAAATAATTTTGTTATCAATAGTATCAAAAGCTTTCGCCAAGTCAATGAAAACACCTAAAGTAAATTGAGATTTTTCAAATGAATCAGATATATTTCTTGTTAATTGTAGAACGGCATCTTCAGTAGAATTGTTTATTTGGAATCCATATTGATTGCTGTATAATAAATTGTTTATAGTAAGATGATTATAAATTTTATTAAACAAAATTCTTTCTAAAACTTTAGAGAATACAGAAATTAGTAAAATGGGACGATAATTACTTATATTCTCAATGTCACCATTTTTTAATATTGGTATGACTTTTGCTAATTTTAAAGCTTGTGGAAACATTCCCTGTTTAATTGATATTGAAAAAATCTTAAAGAGTATATCTTTTAAAACATCAAATGAATTTATAATAATGTTGCTATTAATACCATCAGGGCCAACTGCTTTGTTAGATTTTAACATTTTAAAGGCATTTTCAAACTCTTCAAAAGATAATTCAAAAGAGTTCAAGTAAGAGTTTAGAGGGAAACATAGATCACTCATTAAACTGTTAGCTATTGGAATTCTTTTTGCAAGATTTAATTCTACACTCACAAAATATTTATTAAATATTTTGTATTCTGTCTTTTATCATATAAAAAATTATTATGTTTAACCGTGTTTAGCAAAGTGTGAGATGTACATTTTTTGCTGCCAGTAATTTCTCTTATTATAAACTAAGTGCGTTTAAAATTTTGTTTATATTTGCCTAGTAAATTTAAAAACATTTTTTTTTGTTTTATCTTAAAAGGTTTTGCATAATTTTTATAAATAATTTTTTAATAATTGTTTTTATTTGTTTTACATTTTAAGTAATTAATGTAAAATTTTTGTTTAATTTTTGAAACCCTTTGTAATCCTAGGCGATTTAATACTTTTAGCTTTAAGATTTAAATTAACTTCAGGGAAATTAGTGTCGCATCATCAGATGTGTTAAAAATACTCAAATCAATTAGAGACAGTGCCGGATCAAGGGGGGTCTAGAGAGGTATAGCCCCGGGCGCCGCAAATTTAGGGGCCCCAAAAATTTTAGAAGACCTTTTTTTTTTTTTTTTAGTTATTTTTAGGCTCTGGCCCATAAAAAAACCTCCAAAAAAAAAAATATCCCCGGGCCCCAAGAAGTCTTAATCCGCCACTGATTAGAGATAATTGTTCTTTAAAAGATTCAAGGTTGTCATTTGTAAATATGCGCTTTTTAAAAACTCGCTTTTCATTAGGAAGTAATTTATTATCTGTATTTATAGAAAAGAAAAAAGAAAATTTTTAATTATGCCCTTTTTTAAGAATTCGTTAAAAGCATCAGTGGTTAAAATATTATCAATTAAAGAGGCATTGATTGAGTAATTCTTGTCGGTTTGCTAATCGAAGAAATCGAACCATTTTCAAAAATTCCATTATAAAATCTTTTAATATTATTATTGACGTATTTTTGAAAACAATCTAAATTCAGATCACCCAATAAGTAGATAAATTTATTTTCATGGTTACTTTATTTGATAACGTCATTACATAAAAACGAATTAAATTTTTAATTTCATCTGAAGGTGGGCGATAACAATAACTTAGAATTTTATTATTTATTTTATTGGTTAAAATTTCAATCGTTAAAACCTCTTTATCAGCATCAGAGATGCTCATGTCATACCGGGTAAAATATCGTAAGTTATTTTTAACATAAATAAGAACGCCTCCGCCATGCTTATTTATTTTTCTTGCTAATGAAATTACATTAATACCCGGCCGTTCAAAATCGGTAAAAGAATTTACGTCATCCAAACTGCACCAAAGGAAATTATATTAAATATATTACAACTTTCTTCAATAAAATTACTAAAGATTTCAAAATTTTTTTTCAAACTTCGGATATTGATGTGAATTGTGTTAATATTATTTTGACCAAGAAATCCTTTAATTTCATGGGTATAAAAGTAGTCGCATTTATTTTGCAAAGCACCAGAATAAGTAAAATAATTAAGATCAGGATTTATTGTCTAATAAGAAATCGTTAGTCTGAAAAAAGTTATAAAAACTTGACTCAAAATTTAAGGTTTCGTTAGAATACATTTTATTTTTGTTTTTACATAATTGAAATGAGATGAAAAAATTTCTTTTGTAAACCTCTTGTGATTAATATAATTATATATAACTTTAGCGTACCCTTTGCCCTTAAATATTTTGCCTTATTCAGGAGTTTTTTTCGCAATTCCAGCGTATATTGAGTCGATTATTTCATCGCCGTGTATTTTTTTAATATCGTGGCTTTGTCTTTGTAGTTAAGAAATCGGACTACAATCGATCTGTTTTTTTTATTGTTTTCAGGTAATTTTTTTTCCAACTCGATGTGCTCTTTCAATTTCAAAGATTTCGTGTAGCAGAAGTTTATTTCGTGTAGCAGAAGTTTATTTAGTGTAGCAGAAGTTTATTTAGTGTAGCAGAAGTTTATTTCGTGTAGCAGAAGTTTATTTCGTGTAGCAGAAGTTTATTTCGTGTAGCAGAAGTTTATCATTTAAAAACTCTCTTACTTTAATTTCAATGTCATTCCAACTTTCGTTTTCAATTTCTTCAATCCCACAGAATCTTAAGTTGTTGCGTCAATTTCTGTCTTCGAGTTCAGCCAATTTGTTAATCATGTTAGTATTTGCATATTCATTTATCAATGATGTTTTTGATGTTTGATGATCAGCAACTATTTCATCATAATTACTACTCACAGCTTTCAACAGCTTTATTAAGTTCCTTTTTTAGCTCCTTATTTTCGTCAATTACTGAGTTTAATTTGTTTTCAAGCTTTTCAATTCTATCATTAAACATCTTCATAATAGTATTTTCATGAATTTCCAAAATATCTTTTAGTTGTGCAGATGTAAAATTTTTAGTAGCCATTTTGAAATTTTTTTGATAACATTAAAAAAACAAAAACATTTGTCTACATTAATATAATACTACTTTCAGTCAGCTAAAGATGGCCGCCAAAATTTATATAAATAGCTGGCAGATGTATTAGCCTG